AAACGTCCGATGGGGCCTGTTAGTTGTCCGAATGAATTGGTGTTCATGGACAAACTCCTGTTGACGAAAACGCCAACGCCGGCGACTCCTCTACTGTTGCACGTTCCAAGGAACAGTTCCTCTCCGGTGTCATAGACGGCGTTGAATGGGTGGCGTCGCCTCGTCTCGGCCTGTCCGATGACGTCGTACCTTGTCCTTCTTGCTTGGATGAACAAGTCTTCTATCCAGCACTCGAATGCAAGTGTACGTGCATTGTAGGTACAGATCGTCACCTTAGTTCTTCGCGATCCAGGCAGGTTCCATTGGCCCTGAGATTTTAGCAGTCTCTCCGTACTTGTCCTACCCAACGCTGCAAAATTGGGGGCTCTTTCAGGGTCAGGGGAATGAGGCCCGTTTTTTTTTTACTATGCTTAACATTTTTGATACCCACGCATAGCTTGATGGGCTCTGAACGTGGGGGCTGGATAAAGTGACGGGTAGTTTGCCAGGCTCTCCTAGAGCGGACACGGAGCTTATTTGTTGGAGGCGACTCCAAACCGCCTCCCATATACTGCCCTGTCTCTTGATTGCAGGGTTTTGGTCGAATTGACTCGTAGAATACAACCCGCATCAGCCAGAAAGCACCCACAAACGCGTGCATGAATGCGCCTAGTAAATACAGAAAGTATGTGCCAAATAGGCGCAGCAGAAACAGGGAGTCCATCCCTGGATCCACCTGCGTCTGAGAGAAACATATGGTCGCTTTTGGTTCGCGATTAACCCCCTATCCACCACCTAGGAACGCGGGCCACGTAGCCTCGACCTTCCAAACAGCTAATCACCAGTCAATTGAAGATTGTGGTGAGTCCTACACGAATGGAAATTAAGAAAAGGACCAATTTAGAGCTGTGATATCACAAGTACTACTCCTAAATCTTGCTAAAGCGAGAAATGTGAGGGTTGATCACTAAATATTACTCAACAATCTAAAAGAATGGAAAAGCTAAAAATAAGGAATATGAAGTGGAGAGTGTTAACAACAGTGGTGTTTTGTCATGGTGTGGCAGACGAACCGCACTTACTCATACAAATGCACTTTTGTCGCTCATTCTTCAACCTCCCTACAGTGGCCTCCACTTATTCAAATGAATACAATTCCATGAAGCGCTATCTAGTTCATCTTCGAACACCGCTCAGAGACCTTTAACCGGTACTGCCTGCTTTGTCTTAGGAGTATTTTAACACTTTTAGTTCGCCCTTACCCGATAGCCAACTTATAGACAATAAAAACACGAATCGGTCGACCAAGTCCACATACTTTCCAATTTGCGTTCATTACTTCCACTTCGCTGATAGCATACGCCTCAAAGACCACAAGCATATTATCCTCGGAACTCGACTACTGTTTCACTTAATTTTTGTCCTCTTCTTTCGATTTCAGCTCAAATGCATAAACTCAAATGAAAATACAAGCGCCCTCAGCTCTACATTTTTAACACTACTCCATGAAAAAAGGTCTTTATGATAAAACTTGCGAAAATAATTCTTGAAATACTAGGAAAATCAGACCTTAATATCCCACTTCGTTTCCAAATATATACTTTTTCTACAGAGATTTAGCGTTTTCATCCGGAGTGGCCACCTGAACGCAATAAATTCATCCTACATCAAACAGAAAAACAAGAAGAAAGTGGTAGGAGAATAACCTCATATGCATATCATGCTGTAGTAGATAAAGCAGCTGTAATTCTTAAGCCTTTCAAAGGTTGCTGGAAATGGAATGCCACCAATTCCTCACATCGTTCTTCAACTGTCGCCTTCGATTCTTCTGCAAGTAGCAAACACTCATTCATCACTACGTAGAGATCATTTACCAAGGATGTAGGTGTGATTACTAGTTGTGATTGTAAAACACAAAGAGGTTGAAAGAGTAAGAAAAAGAACATGGTTCACAAGTAGACAAACAAACATAAGGTGGACACCGAGTTCGAAACTTGTGGAGCTCATTATCAGGAGACAAAACCTCAAAATTGGAACAATAAGTCGCCTGTGCAACTAAAACTTGGATATTAATATAATTCACAAAAAGTAAATTGCGCTGGAAATGTAGTAACCTTAGCAAGAACATCTTCAACCTGCTTTAGAAATCTCTTCTTAAGATCTTCGACAATGAAATAATGAGTAGTCACGGTTTTCTCAGCACTTAGTGATCTGCACTCCCATTTGCTTCGTAACGCTAATAATGTAGATATTTTTCACATCATTCTAACCGCTTTTAGCCATTCAAGTGAAGAAGAAAACTGCCTGCCAATCATATTTCGATAGAAGCTCTGCATTCAACCAAGAAGGACATGCAATAAATAACAATAAAAATATGGTACCTAGGCAGTCGCCGCCCATGTGCATCAAGGAGAGATTTGCCACCATGCGACTAGTTTGGTACCAGGTTGGTGACTGATCCTGGTATTGTTTCACTCTTAGCTGGAGTTCCTAATGGAAACGTCAGACTCCTTCTCAGCTTGGGATACGCCGCCAGGTAGACGAATACCCCGCTGTAAATCGCAGCCCGACACCCAGGAACACCTCCTACCCACTATGAGGCGGTAAGCCGTTGGGAGGAAGTCCAATAATGTGAAGCACAACTACAAGAACGGTGAGACTGCGGTGCTTTCAGCAACCACCCTTGAATAAAGAAAAAAAGCAGGAAAGACAGTAACACACCCTAAATACACGACTGAGAAGAACGGAAAGCAAGGGTCTCGACTGGTGTGCTGGAATGCACGTGAGCCCATGAAGGAGTAATCGCGGCATCGAAGCTCAACTGAGGTCCCGAATTTTGCACATATCTCTGCATTCTTGAGTTTTTGGTTCGCATTACACCCTGCCCATAAGAATATCTAACAGATAAAAATACTGTGATTTCTAACAATATGGTTCGTCGCAAGAATACAGACCTCACTGATTGTGTTCTCGTGGATATCTCCTTGTTCCGGTTATAAGTCCATGATGTTTCAATCCACGTTTTTTGTGAGGAAGAAAGGATCCGAGTGACCTGTAAGATAATGAACCTAAAGTCACCTAAAGTAAGCAAATAGTAACTGAACTAAAAAAATGGAAAACTAACACGTTTTCGATCCACCTAACAGTGGCTTCATAGTGGACATCTCAAAGGTTCCATTTAGAGGAAGTGTTGCATCTATGTCCAATACCATAAAAATATTTGAGCTTTAAATAGATAATAAAACGAAAATGTAGTGGAATATAAATGAGCCAAAAAACCAAATACTCACTGACTGGAACTCATGAATAGAAGCTTGTAACAAAAGTAAAGCTGAAAAAAGAATTTTTAGAACACAAACTCGCTCACTACCTTTTGCTAAAGTGGACAAACGCTAGGAACGCAGCCGAAAATGGACTAGTTATCAACAGTTCTCTTTCAGCTGGAAAATAGACTTTTATTAAAGAAATAGATATAATAGATGGCAGATTTCCTCACCCCGTTCGCTATGGATTACCTCGGGTCCAGGTTTCCCAGAAAGAGCCGCATTTTGTTTGATCTGAAATCAGTCCACACTAATAACCATGGTCTAAAAAGGGTGTTTACTTTGACGAATATCGCCCAACATGAATTCACAACAATGCGTTTGATGTGAAAATAGTGGTCCTTCGAACTAACATATCTCAGCACACGGTGTGCTTCATTAGATGAAATGAGAACTTCTTAACTCTTGAATCATCAGTCCTAATACTGAGGACCCATAAACTTTGATCTTTTTCTTTTCGCCTCTTTAAAGATAGAAAGACTACTATGTCGATCAAGATTATGCACACTATTAAGGAGACAGCAAAATTTCTTCTATGAAGCTGTGCTTAACCCAATCCTTCAAATACTCCACTAATCGAGATACCATCGTCACTTATCGAGGAACTAGCTCCGTGATTAGAAATTATACAATTCTACTATCCAAAGGCACATCTAAAATGCACAGCAGACCGTGAACAATTCAAAAAATGGATATTAAAAGATGTTCTTTAAAAAGTAGGGTAGTCCCAAAATTCACAGAGAAACTAATTGAACGAAAACAGATGAAACGACAAATACCAGTACCATATGCAAAGCATAACTTGTTACTGATTAACACTATGAGTTCCTTAGCAAGGGGGATTTAAAGACAAATATATAATAATGAGAGAAGTTTGCGTCCTGCAGTTTTAATTTCGCGCGGTTCTGCATTATGGATTAGAGCGCGGCAATGCTGTGGTCAAGCACGACTGCGAGAGCGCTATCGAAGTGGAAGGACGGTTCTTCTCTATAAGCCTCTTCGAGCACTTCTGGTTGCTTTTCACTAGTTAGCATCATCAGTTTACATTTTAGTGTACGTAAACACTGGGATCCCATGAAGTCATAGGACCGATGACCCCAGTGGCTTACTTCCACATCGAGGCTTCACTTGTCCTCAATTGTGGAGGTAGGAACTGAAACTTAGGTCATCATTCCAGCAACATCAGTCATGCTAGGGAGTTGGGCATTTCTGTGCGGAAGTATAGCCAGCGGAGAATAGATTAATGTCAAAGCGGTTGTACTTCACGTCGGGGCCTGCCATGGAAAAAGAATAATAGGTAGTAAATAAAAGTTAAAGAATTGTATTTTTTATTTACTGTTTATTATAATTCTTCACGGAGGGTATTATGTGTGGTACAGCCATAATGAACCAAAGCGATGCTGAGATCTTTGCAAAACTCCGGACGGCAGGTATCTGTGGTCAGTAACGAATGCGCTGTTACCTTTTCCATGGCAAAACGTGTCCACCACCACGACATGCGGGTTCTTCGTTTCACCTGTCTAGCCATGTCAAACATGTTCTACCGGCAATCACCCGTCAATGGGATTGACTGAGGCGTTGTTTTAGCATAGTCATAATTTATCAGTATGCCTGCTAGGAAAGTACGTATACAGTTGGGTGGGTATTAGTTAGTAAGCTAGTATAATCACATCCTCTCGCTGTTACGTACAGTTTACGTTGAAATCTCAACAAATTAGTCGAACTAAATACGTAAATCATCTTTTTACAGAGCCATCTGATGAGGCTGACGAGCTGTGCCAACGTATATGGAACGGTCAATCATCACAATCGGAAGAAATCACCGAGGCGTTCGGCATCAAAGTAAAATTATTTACTTGTCTCTCGCTTCTTTTTTTCACCTTGACGTCATTTCCTTCTTGGTCTCTTGACGTTTTTTAAGCACACAAAGTGATGTGCTTCATCTGGCATACTGGGTTTTGCGATCTCGCCTAGGTATTTGGGACTGCAATCTGCTTAGCTGTTTCCAGTTGTCATAGTGAAATATTCTATTACTTATCTTCGTTTTGACTATATGCATCACGAATGCTGATAAATGCAGTGGATTTTTGTAAACTTCTACAGTATTTTGTTTTCTCTGTCTTTTAGTTTTTTGTAGTTAACCCGGAGAGATCTTTCGACGTTATCTGACCGTAATTGGTTGAACGACCAAGTGATAGACTTCTACCTGCAATTAATTTGCCAAAGAAGCGAAGCCACCGAAAATCTACCGAAGGTGCATTTACCTTTTTTCTTAAGTTTTACAGGACCATAGTGAGGTTTTTCTCCAAGAACAAATCGTGTTTTTGTGAGAATCAAGATGAATTTGTAGGTGTATGCCTTCAACACGTTCTTTTACCTGAACATTTCCACAAAAGGCTACGACTCTGTCAGAAGATGGACGCGTAAAGTTGATATCTTTGAATACGATCTGCTTCTGGTGCCGATACACCTCGAAGCTCATTGGTGTTTAGCGGTAAGCGCAAGTTTACAAGTTTCTAAAAAAAAACACAAGTTTCCTGATGAGTTTATTACCTTTCAGATAGTTGATCTGGCGATGAAACGAATTGACTACTATGATTCATTGTTAGGAAGAAATAAAAAGTGCCTTGATTGTCTGAAGTAAGCTGTGTGTTGTGTTTTCAATGCAACTAAATAAAATGTCGTTTTAACAGGAACTACCTCACTGAAGAATACGAGGACAAAAAGAAAGAGACCTTTGGTTTCAAGGGATGGAAGTTTAGTTTACGAAGGGTAAGGATTTCAACGACGTGGGTTCTTCTTAATAAACAATTGTCATTATCATTGGCAATGATTTGCATTAGAAGTGTGTTCATAGTTGAGAATATACGTTGTTTACGACGTAGAATCTACCCTACAGAAGAAGTCAGGATAAAGCCATTGTAGTGTTAGTGACTGTGAATTTAGGACATTCCCCGTCAAACGAATGGCAGCGATTGTGGTGTGTTTGTGTGCAAATTCGCTGAATTTGCATCCAGGAGGGCACCCATGGCATTCACGCAGCAACACATGCCAAACTACCGACGAGTAATGGTGTATGAATTGGTCGAAAAGAAGTTATTGTAGAATGAATGCAAGTATATTTTTAGTGAGTTGTTATGTTAAGATCCCAACGGAAGCCTGTAAGCTCTATTATTATGGAAAAATGTTGATGCTGTTTCTGTTGGTACATAAGATCAATCCTGTTTAGAGTTTGTATCTGATTTGCCCGTGTTTCGAGTCGAAGAGAGCGCTGTGGTGAACATTGAGCTTTTAAGAGGTTTCCTCGCTCTTCAGTAGCTGCACTCACACTAAAACTGTCTGTACATGTCTTTTGTAATGTGTCACTTCACAGTCTGTTTGCACTTCTCCAGCACAAATGTTGAGATTCTCAAAAACTGCGGGTTATATTACTTCATGGATAACATCACTTTTGTATTCCGTTATGGAAGCCCATACCATTTTTCTGTTGCTTACGCTGGTAGTCTCTGGTATTCACTGTTCAATGTTTCATGGCAAATTGATCGTCTCAGGTTGCTTTATAGATGTCTTATTTATAAAAAGGGTTGAGGAATAATGTGAACTATTGTGTCAGAAACACACAGCATATGTATGCATTTATGTATATATGTATATCTTTGGTCATGTTTATCCCAAATTGTCCTAAGAGCTCATCAAAGGTGTTTCTGAATGTCAAACTGCTAAGTGCCGTGGTAGTTCTGTTGTAGGGCCATCCAAAATGAGAAGTTCTGTTCTTCCATTTAGAAGTCCAGCAAAAAGTCCTACGAGCTACATGTGGATGTGTTCTTGCCAGGAATGTAGAGAGTAGTGTGACAAGTTGGAGTGGTAGAGAAGTGTGTGACATGTAGTGTGGTGCGCATCAAACAAGTGGGACTCGGCAGATCTCCCGCACTACGTGGACGAGTTGAGCTTAGTGGTTTCCACTCGAGACATTTAATGATTAACTGGATTATATGTGGTAGAGGTAGTTCGAACTCTACGGGACAACAATAAGGCCTCGAGTTCCCCGTTGTTGCACGTCATGAGTTTATTCATGTAACCATTCAGGTAAAAGCAAAATATGAAACATTTTCTGTCAATTGCAATCAATTTGGGTATTGTACTTACCTGGATACTTGGACGACCCGCACCTACTGACCGTGCGTGCCCCAGCATATTCTACACTTTTCGGAGTTTTGCTGGTTTAGCCATTGTGTTACCCTAGAGTGCCGTGGTCAGCTTGGCCAAAGTCTTCCCCAGGTCGTCACCACCATAAGCATTCGCAGCCTTTGTGGATCAGAGCGAGATTTTCCACCATGCGACTTTGATATCTGGACGGTGGTGGATCCTGGGATTGGTTCACTGTTAGCTAGGCTTCCTGATGGAAACGCCGGGCTTCTCAGATGGGGAGACCCTGCCGAGGGATGAATCGCTCCTCTGTGGGTCGCAGCCTGTCACCCAGGAACACTTTCCAGCCACGTTGAGGCGGTAAACCATTGGGAGGCATTATACATTTTAGCGCATGTAATTACTGGGTTGCCATGAATTCACAAGATTATTGCTTATCCTTCTCCCGAGGCTTGCTACCTCGTCGTGGCTTCATGGGTTGATAGGTACGGAAGCAGGGACTACAGCTAAGGTCACGAATTCAGGAAGAGAACCCCTGCTAAGGAAATGAGCATCTCTGTGTAGATGTCTAGCTAGCGAAGAATAGATTAATATCAATAATTATAGGCATCTTGAAAGAAATCTAACTGCAAGGTGGCAAACGTTTCACTGATCAACGAAAACCGGAGGTTTTCTGTGGTAACTTCTTAATGGTCTGGGGCTGGTTCACATGCTAGAGAAAAGATGATGTGAAGCCAACAACATTTTCATTTTTATTTATTTTATGCTACCCGTCTTCATATCCACTGTACAGATCGCAGCACGTCTCATATCCGACTCGTTTCCTCACATCCATCATCCACGAAGATCTCCCAACCTTTACGTGTGGTTTCGGCTGCTGCTTTATGATTTTCATTTCATCTTGAATATCGTAGATTGCCGGTCCAGCTGATTCTCCCTGGAGTCCTGAGATAGACAGGCTGGAGCGTTCCCAACTGCATTCTTGAGTGGTTTTTCACCAGGAGCACTATCCTGCTCAACGAAGTTCGCCTTGTTTATTTGCTAACCCCCTCGAAATACGAGGCTCGGCAGAAAAAGAAAGGTAAAAGAACACGTTTGCGTTTCTCCGGAAAATCAAAAAATAACCTTGGTAGAAAGAGATCACCTGTGGCCTATGAGCGAATTTCTGTAGAATTCAAGGGGCCAGTGCCCCTTGCAGCTTCACCGCATACGGCTATTCGAACACTACCATGGGATTCTATTCAAATGGGAAAGACAGGTGCTCTGTTTTCGTCTTTGAATATCACGAAAATACACTTTTATTTTAATCAAATATCAATAGTGGAACCAAGATGAAACCACGCTCCAATCGGATGAACGCGTTGTGCTTCGCGTGGCGTTAATTCAAATTTCCAGGATGTCAGATCCCACCTCTTTCGTCTGACGTACTCATTATTATCAGTATTTTCACTGGCTTCAATAAGTTTTAATTGAGTTTCTATTTGTAGGAATAGAGCAATCACAGCAGATTCGGATCGGTTCAGGAGGTCCGCAGTCGGTAAATCCTATGGCTCAATTGGCTTCATCAGCTCCAGTACCGAATGCGGGAGCGTCAAGTGGTTCAGCTTTAACCAGGGGTTCCGGTCCTGCTGGTCCACCTGGTAGTCCGATGACGGCTCATGGACGACTCAACGACAACAATCCACTAATGAGGTATTGAGCTGCGCATTTTACTACATCACTTCAATGTTGTGCAAATTTGTATAGATTTAATTCAGTAGGGTTGACTTCACCGCTCTTGGTTATTTGTATTCAGAAGCAATTTCAAACTATGCTTTGCCTTTTGGCGGGAAAGCATCGACTGTTACCGCAGTCGTAATGTATCCGATAGAAATGGTATATATTTAATGCATTTGGAGATGTATGTCGTCGAAGATATCAGATCGACAGTTTAGACTGAAATAATCTAAACGATGCTAGTCTCTTATTTTATGGTTTAGTGACTCATTCCGTCTGCCGAACCCGTCGAACAGACATCCTGGCTCAGGATCCGCAGGAGCGGCTAGAAGTGCTCCTTATCGTAGAACGTTGTTGTGTTCGTCTGGTAATTCCTCTACAAGCGACGTTCCACGGTCTGATTCTCGATGCCATCTAAAAGTGCGTTTCCATTACATTTCTATCTTATTTTTCATGATGTTTCTCACGTCGCTCAAGGGCGGATTTGACTGGATGCAATTTTCTCCTGAGGCAGAGTAGTTTTTAGGAACTAGATTCTCTTGCTTAGGTCAAAAATTTTTTTAACGTTAGCCCGTACTGAATATGAAGAATGATGGGTTTTGTTATATGACATAGTTAACAAAGGAGTTACTATGAGTTGTATAATTATACATTTGTGGTGAATTTATCTGTACCTCGTTCATCATTTTTATCACCTCTTTATCCCTTTCTCGTATCGTTACGACTGCGACGTGTATCACACCGCCTACTTTTGCCTGAAGATTGGCTCATTTGAATAGGGAAGCTTCTCCCTGGAACTTTCAAGAATTGTTTACTGTTAGGGTGTCATGAGTTGATAGTTTATGCCTATGGTCACAAAATTGCAGTTCTCATGAGCTCAAGAATTACCGATGTATTTTATTTGAGGAATGCCGTCAGCATATCCATCGTAGTCTTTGTGATTATCTTGTTGGGAGACTAGCTAACGTGATATTTCCTTTACTGAATCCGAGTGCCATCAATAATCAACGAATTCGTGAAGTGATCAGTGATGCTCGAGAAGTCGAGGCGGCGACGTTCGAAATAGCTAACGATCAAGTAAGTTGTAAAAGTAGCACGTCTTATTTAGTATGCCGTTAAGGTGTTTCTATGTGGTGTTGACTATTTCCTTAGTACTTGAATAGCCAAAAGTAGCGCTTAGCTCAGCATGTTTTCCATTTACTCTTTCAATGTCGTCACGAAATGCGTGTGCCGCGAGGTTTCTACATAGTCGCGAGAGACATTAGTCTTATCTTGTATATGGGAAATTTTACACCTTTTGACACATCCATTCATTTTCTTGGGCATATATGAAAGAGTCAAACCCGTTTTTGAATTAACCAATGATGCAGCGTCATAAACACCCACTGTTTATCGAGGCTGGACAAAGGGTTCATGTTGAAGTCACAAAGTTAACTTTCTATTTATTACCTGCTGCAATTTTTCACGGCAGAGTATTATTTGGAATGCATCCGCAATGACGCTGAATTATTTGCAAAATTCCGGACCGCAAGTCTTTGCGGTGGCGATCGAACACGCTATTACACTTTTCGAGGCGTAATGTGTTCACCACTGCACCATGCGAGTCTTTGGTCTCACCATTCTCTCTGCCGTGTTAAAGGAAGGACACGCATGGTGTGGTGGTGAACGCGTTAGTCCCTGAAGAGGTAATAGAGTGTTTGATCATCACCGCAAACACCTATGGTGCGGAGTTTTGGAAACATCTCAACATCGTTGTGGTTATAGTTCATGATAAGGTATTAAATGACTATATGGGATTACTACTTACTTGGAAACTTCGATGACCCGTCCTCGCTGGCTTTGCAGCTTCCTGCACAATCTCCATTTTTCCGAGTTTTGCAGGTTTAGCCATTGTGGTTTCCTGGAATCCCGTGGTCAGCCCAGCGAAAGTCTGCTCCAGTTCGCCTCCATACCAAGCAGTTGCAGCGCTTGTTGATTAGATGGAGGTTTTTCACCATGCGACTAGTTTCATACCAGGACGTTGTTCGATCCTGTTATTAGTTTATTCTTAACTGGGGTTTCTGATGAAAAGTCAAACTCTTTCTCGACTTGGGAGGCCCTGCTGCCGAGATAAATCCTCCGCTGTGCATCGCAGCTCCACACCCAGGAACACCTCCCAGCCACAATGAGGCTTTAAACTGTTGGGAGGTTATAGGCGACAAGATTAGTTTGAAAGCGGCTATTTGTTGTTCAATTCAAGAGCT